CACACTCACTCACTCTCACACACACATTCTCACTCACTCACTCACTCACTCACTCACTCACTCACTTACCCACTCTCTCTAACTCTCACTCACACAGAGAGAGACAGAATGTTTTGTACGTATCAGAGTCACTTTATTTCTTCAATAACAAAATGGCTTGTTCATTCTGCAACAGTGATATTCTCTCTCTGAATATACATATAGTTTGATAACAGTCGTTAAACTATTTTACTACCAATTTCCAGCAAAGACGAAAAAGAAAAAGATAAAGAAAAAGAAACGGGAGCGGGGCTGCAGCAGGATGAGGAGTCACACACTGTGGTGTTGACGGATCTTCACATAAAGGAAAAAAACAAATGTGATTAACTAGTGATTAATAAAATAACTACAAGGATTGGTCTGAAAAAAGAAATCACAAAGAGTATCAAAGTAAAAAGGGAGCATGGCTGATGATCCACTCAGATGGCAATGAAATTAAATATTCAGAATGACTTTGAACCAAAGGTTTTTTTCGTCCTTCAGGCAAACAAATATAAGAGACATGATTACAACTCGGAGCAGCAGCGATAACTCTCCGACAAATCTCACTTCAAAGAAATCATAAAAAATGTAAATAAAATCTTGTTTCCCTCATCGCATCAAACTGAACCTTTTCAGAAACTGAAGCTGCATTTCAATAAGGTGAGGTCAAATATTTATTTGGCAACCACGCGTATTTGAAGCAGTTGGGCTTTAGAGACATTAAATCTAGACCAGACACAGCACGGTGGGGGTTTGCAAAGTTCTTAAGCAGAATTTATTGAAATTACTTATATTCCAAAGTACAATACTGTAATCCTCAAGTTATCAAAAATGAGTTTCCCTATTTATTTATTTTTTAAAACTCCTCATTTCACCTTTAACCCCTTTCACCACGTCAAATTTACGAATTACAAGTGACTGAGAGCACAGCGCCTCAGCCCCTCATCAGACTAACATCCACCTGTGTTTTACTTTGTTGTGTCACATCGAGGGCTCCTCTTCTTCACAACAGAGCACCAGGCTTCTGCACCAGTGAGGGCAGCTTTAATTTCCGTCACTGTCATCTGAGTCGACAAGTCAAGCCAACCCTTGTGGACTGTGCGTGTGCTCCTTCCTCTCCTCCTCCTCCTCCTCCTCTTTGCCGCTCTGCACAAGCGCCGAGGTGCGGCGCTATAGCTCGGTGCGAGAGCGTGATATACGAGGACCTTTCCGGATTTCTTTCCTCTTCTCTTCCTTCCTCCTCCTCTTCTCCTCCTCCCTCAGGATCTTCTGGAAGGCCTCGGCTGTGTGAAGCACCTGCGGCACGTTAGAAAGCGTGAGAGAGGGTGTGTGTGAAAATCAGAAAAGGGCAGAGTGGGAAACAAAGTGTATGAATCATACTCACATCGTCTCTCTCTGTGCGGTATGGGTTTAAAAAGTCTGGCGTTTTCTCGGTTATTCCCAGCTCCTGTGACATCTGAGGGACAGACAGATGACGGAGGAAGAGAAGAAGTCAAACAAAACGTGGAATGGAAATGACACACTCACGTCTCATCACTTATTTTACAGCTTTACAAAAGAAGTATGGTGAAACTTGGCGAGCAGATCAAATCTACATTTCCTCTCGGAATCGCCGCTCGTTTCCTCGAGCGTTGTGAAATGGAGAGCCGGGGTTACCGAGGCACAGAGTGAGGGCTGGATGCACAACTTCAGGGTGCTAACCGCTGCTGCTCACAGTCGCAGAATTAATCCACTGTATAATCCTCTTGGCACATTGCTGAGGTCACAGATTAATCCTGCAGGAGTTTAGTTCATCAATTCACACGATAAACAGGGAGACCCGGCTCATCTGCTTTGCTTTTTCTTCTGAAGTTTAAACAATGCATTGTGGATGAATGTTCTGATGAATGTGCAGTGATGAAAGATGTTATTGCTGATACCGAGGATAAATTGTACACTGACGTAACGGACGATTGCTCTAAATCTAAGATAAAACCACCTGCGTTAGTTCCGTCATTTCTATGCACCTGTCACATTTACCTCACCTGTGATATATATCATTTAACCCCCTGCACTGAAAAGTATTTATTTCAATAAAGACATATTGAATTCTGAATTATAACTTTTCTTAATCTGATAATGATTCGGTTTCACCTTAATTCTTGGAGACGTATAAGAATTACTCATTGTCAGACAGTCAAGGCCTCTAACTTTTAGCCTGAAAGCACATTAGCACTTAAATGTGGTCTGAGTTTATTTTCCGCAGCTTTATCCCGGCAACAATCTTTCTTTCTCTCTCTCTCTATAGTCGAGAGATCATCGTTTTTATGACCTTACTGCAGAACAGTTCAGTGAATTGTGATAATGCTGTTTTATAAAAGGTGTCATTCATTCCAATAAGAACGGTACAAGTCATTGTCTGGTCTTACAAGAGTGAGGACATGTTGGTGGGCTCCTCCGGTAAAAACCCCCGTCTGGTTACAGAAATTCAGCCCCCAGCGCAGCAGACCACCCCAGTCGGTATTCCGGTCATAGTAGTGGTGGACGATACGGGGGAAACGCAACGCCACGTCGCCGAAAAACGCCGTATTCTCCACCACATGGGAGTAAGCTGCAGGAGATCATAAAGAGAAGACAGAGGGACAATTAGAAGGAATGATTTTCAAGATAAATGTGTGCATAGAAAACACAGAACAAAGAAAGTGAAGCTAAACCTCACGACATTCAGACAGATTTTCAGGAGAGAGTTGATATTATTGAGGTGACAGAGGTGGAGCTTCTAGAGACGAGTACCGGACAAACCAATCAGAGGTGATGGAGACAGACTCAGGAGTGTGGAAGACTCGGTAGAGATCACAGCAGAGACCCTGAAAAAATGAAATGATGAAAGGGCTGAGGTGTAAATGTGAAGCCGACCTTCTTTGATCTTGTCGTCCATGGGGAACGGGTCGTCAGGCTGCATGTTGGCCGTAACCAGGATTTGTCTCGAGTCCTCCAACACCTTATAAAAGAGAGAGAGAGAGAGAGAGAGAGAGAGAGAGAGAGAGAGAGCTCAGTTGATTAGTTCTACACTGACTGTGGTAATGATGGAGAAAAAGAATACTGCTGCTACTACCTCATGTTTCATGGATGTTTAGGGGACAGATTTTCATGAGCGTTTGCAATTTGGTGCAGCTCGAAGTAAAAAATCCAGATATATTGGATTTAAATGTGGATTCCTAAGGGGACAGTTTGGCCGTGGCAGATTCTACTGAATGTCATTCTAGCTTGTTTGTTGTTTTGGAGCCAATGTGGACAAACGGGTTGAGGCAGATTGGGGATTTTTTCCCACTCTCTTTCTTCAACAAGCCAAGATAAAATCTAACGAAGCAATTTTGGGCACTTGCACAGATTCACTGGATCCACAGAAACAACTAGAATCTTCTGAGATTTCACAGTTTTTGTCTTAAAATCTTGGCGCTCACAGACACTGACTGAGATTAGAGTCAAGGTCTGTGGAGGTAGAATAAAGAAGCGATATGAGCAGAAACATTCTGAAAGCTTCTATCTCTCCCATTCACAGAGCGGTGCAAAAATGCTGACAAGGTATTTCAGCCTCTGAAGGTAGACTGTGCTCATCGTCCTCGTGAGGGACGCATTATGCAGAAGATAACTGTCCTCTGGGACGCGGAGGCCCACTGTGTAAAGCCCCCAGCCTACAGTGAGAGAGAATGGCACTCTGAGCAGCCGAGTCCGATTTTACATTCAAATGAATGAAGGAAACATGCTGATGAATGTGATCGCTGGATTTGAAGCCTTTGATTCTCTGTCGGACTCGGATCCTTCTTATCCTTCTATCTGCTGAGAGCACGAGAGGCTGGAGCTTAACTGGAGTTTTTAAACACGTGTTGGATTTGGCTGGTGGCCGCACACTATGTGAGCATTCACACACACACACACACACAGGTCCTACCTTGAAGAGTCCTTTGAGCATGATGTCTATGATCTTGTACTGCTGGTTAATGTCGTTCAGCTCCACCAGGTTCTTCAGAGCGTTCAGTTGATCTTTCCTCTTGGTCTCAAACAGCCGCTTGTCTGACAGGAAAAGATCAGGAGGACACACACTCCCCATGTGAGCATAACGCACACGCACACACAGTATTACACACACACAAACACACACACACATCCAACTGATATGCACAGCAATGAATTCAGACACACACACACAGGCGTGACTGTGCGTCAGGCAGCAGCCCTCCACACTGACAGCAGAAGGATACAGATCTCCAGGTTGGAGTCATGTCTGGGTCTGTGTGTGTCCAAGTCCGCTGAGCTGAGGGCGACAGCGGCCAGCGCCACGACCACCGCACAGAGACTCTGCATGGTCACCAGGGGGCGGCAGAGAGGCACTCTTCAAGACACAGAAGACAAATCATGAGACACCTCTGTCAGCGCGTCGTTAAATCTTGAGACGGAATTGCATGATTTCAAATCTCCTTCCAACACATTTTCTTTTGATGGACAAACAATCTCATCTGAACACTGGACTTGAAGTGAAATGATTTTCTCCTTTCAAAGCTGCTGGAAAGGTTCTGTCCCCCGTGATACTTGTGGAATAAGTGAAGTACAGAGAGATACGCCCAGGGGTCTGTGGACAATATGGACCACCAGAGGGTATCCAGCAGTTGAGGAGGGGGCTCCTTATGTTCCTTCATCTGATGTCTGGCACTTGAAAAACCCCAGAGGAGCATTTACAATCTCTGCACCAGACCGGCTCTTTGCCCTTTCTTCCCCTCTCAATCCAACGTCTTCAACGTGTTCATTCAGATGTAACGTCCTTTTCCTCTGAGGCTTTTTTATACATTCGAAGGGGAGGGGGGGTGAAAGAACTAGGAAAGATACAACAGCTAAAAATAGAACCTCATCAAATGAAAATTTGATGAAAGCCAAATTTTTAAGAAAAACATTAGTGGAAAACAGGAGTAACTCGAGGGAGGCAGCAGCCACGGTGTTGATGAAAAGCTACAACACATAATTCACATAATTCATGCATAATTTATCAAGGGCTCCATCAATACACAATCAGAGGGGTGCGGAGGTTGAATAGGAGTGTGGGGAGTGAAGGGAGAGTCAGATTGTGAAGCAGGAGGAGGACAGGAGGCGAGAGATGAGCAGAGGGGTGATGAGGCGTTTGGAGAGGGGCAGGCGGGTGGAGGTTGGGAAGTCGGACGGCAAGACCCTGCAGGAGACAACAGCTTTCCTGGTAAATATTTCATCTACTTTTGTTAAGACACAGCGATAAAACAGAAAGACACACAGATAAGAGAACAAGTGGAAGATAGAGGAGGAGAACAAGGCTCTGCGAGAGGAAAATGAGCAGCAGGGACTTGATTTTGCTCTGACGAAATTAATCTTTACAAGCTTGGCTGCCAAATCCTGAAACTGCAGGACGAGGAAGTGAGCAAACCTCTCAGGGTATGAATGTTAATTTGTCCCCTTAAGGATCTCACTCAAATCAGAGGGGGGAAGCATATGCTCCGAGACACAGAGTCCACCATCACTCCTCAGAGAGGCTGATACCGTGGACCAACAGCGATGGTTTCAAACTACAAACCTCCTCCTGCTTTTTAAAATTAAATTCAGAGCCTGCAGATATGACGCGAGAGATCATTCGGAAAAAGTAAACAAACTCCCTTAAGTTGCAGCTACTTTAATTTGTGCTGTTGGCGGTCGTCAAAATCGACTTTTTTTAAAACAGCGTCAGCAGAAACAAGTGTTCCCGAAGACAGCTGAGCGGGGACAATGTTCGATAAAAGGCCAATTTGTGCATTCTGGGAACATCTTTTGGGTTTCTTCCCAGCGTTCTGAGATACGCTGCTCTAAATATCCTTAAGTGCTGGTCGAAAGCCTCAGTATTTCTAGATAACAGCTGCGGGCAGGGGGCCTCGTCTCTCCCCTGGCAGCAGCTCATCGGGTTAGTTGATGTTCTGAGCAGGCAGCTATATATGTAGCTCTGACACATATTTATGAGCAAAGAGGTTATCGTCTCTGCTACGATTTAATGCAGTCAACATATATCTCCAGCAGATGCTTAAGTTTTCATGTGGCAAGAAAAAGTGCTGAGACCTTAAGAAGCAGCGCAAGGACGTTAAGGAGGGGATCAATCATCTAATGCATCCATTAACTGTAAGCAGGCAAACCTAATTACACAGGCTGATCGCTGTAGAAAATCAAAGTCAGAGGAAAACCCACCAGTGAAGCACTTAGGTTTTAGGATCAGATTACACCTGAGAAATGAGACGATATCAAGTTCCCTGTGAAGCTTGTTCTGGGCTGCGAGGGAATAAAAAAGGGATTTGACTGATAAACCAAACATCATATATTCATCCTGCACCTTTCTCAGACACATCAGCCCAGCACACACTCCATCAACACAAGACTTGTCCTCTCATATTCTGCCCTGGACGGATTTCCCATCATGTTCAAGTGTCCAAGGTGGGGAGGGCCCGGTTCGGATTTGGGCCCCATCACAGGGGCACTCAAGTCGGGCGAGGTGTATTTGCCACGGGGAGGTCTGAAAGGAAGAGTGGTTCTCGCCGTAAGCCCACGTAAATCTCTTGGCCGTTGGAGATTTTCCTCTCAGCCAGCAGCAATCTCCTGCGGCAGAGAGGCTGAAGTTTGATTTCCTGTGTGGGAGATCCAGTTTCCAGCTTTGGGCACACATATCTAATCACTCCACAGAGCTGTCAGGACGACTCCACGCTGGGAGAACATGCATCAATCCAGTATTTCACACCATGCAGTGTGATGCATATCTGCTTTTTTTTTTTTTTTTTTCCCTCTCTGCTCCGCTGAAGGACGAGCTCAAAAACACAAACAGAAAAAACTGAATCAGGAGCAGGAGACGGTCCATTCTGCTGATCGACCAACTCTGTGACATTAATGCAGAGAGAGGAAGCTGAACCTGGAGGTGAGGGCAGCTCCGGGGGGGGGGAGAGATGCCGATCAGATGTGCAGCAGGGGTGGATGCAGATTTCTTCCAGGCTGCCTGCTGTGGAGGTTTGAGGTTCAAGGACTGACACATAATCTCTCTCTCTCTCTCTCTCTCTCTCTCTCCCTCTCTGCACGCAGCTCTATCATCATTCATGCAGAGTCAGAGCCACGGGCACGCGTAACGCTGATGATGGCTGAGTGAAGACTGGCATGTGCACCATCAATTACAGATGCCTTGATTACATGTCCCCTGCATGACCCAGGATCCCCTGCAGA